GGTCACGGATTTGAGCACGGGGGCGGGGGGGGGGGGGGGGGGGGACTCGGCGGGGGGCACTGGGCCCACAGGTGAGCTCAGTCCCGCCCACTGATGAGTTTGTTTAAAATAAAATTTAAATTTTAAAACATTAAATAAAATTAATGACATAACGACTGGATGTCCGGTCCCCGACCTGTTGGCTTCCAGCCGCTGTGGCTCCCTGAAAAATAACTAGTCCTCAACTAAAAGCTCTACTCTTGTCCTTCAGCTACTTCTAGCTTCTGGCAAGCCTCTTGCTACTTTTCGCTTCCAGCTAAACATTTAATACCATTTCTAACGTTTTGCTACTAGATTTTTTTGATACTTGTAGCTAGCGTTTTGTTATTTTTAAGTTTTAGCTAGCATTTTCTACTTGGCTAACATTTAGTTATTTTTGCTACTTTTGGATAGATTTATTCTACATTGGGCTTTTAGCTAGTGCTAACCACTTCAGCTATTAGCTAGTCTTTTGCCACTTTTAGCCAGCCTTTCGCTACCTTTTGTTTCTACCTACTTTTAGTTTCGGACACTTTTAGCCAGCTTTCTGTTTTGTTTTTAATTAGCTAGCTTGTTATTTTTAGGTAGAACTTTTGCAACTCAGCTACTGTTCCACTACATTAGCTAGCATTTTGCCACTTAGTTAGCATTTAGCTACTTTTAACCAGACTTTTAATCCAGATGTCTTTTAGCTAATGTTTCACTCCTTTTATGTTTTTAGCTAGTTTTGCCAGCATTGTGCTCCATGGCTACCATTTTGTTTATTTTAGCTAGATTTTTACAACATTTGGCTTTTAGCTCATCTTTCACTTCTATTGGTTGTTAGAGCTAATAACAACAAGGCTAGCTCTAGCTTTTCCCCACTTTTAGCCTGCCTTTTGATAACTTTAACTTGTAGCTAGCCTTTTGCTTTTAGCTAGCCTTTTGCTATTTTAATGTTTTAGCTAGACTGTTGCTACATAATTAGCATTTTGCTACGTTCAGTTAAACTCCTACATTTCAACATATCTAGTGTTAACCTGTTAATTTTTTTTTGCTATATTTTTAATTTTTATCATTTTAGCTTGTAGCTAGGTCTGTTGCGATAAACAATAAATCAATTAATCACATGATAGAAGAAAATTATCGACCTCATTTTCATTTACCGGCTTTATCATTTCTTCGTGTCTCTCTTTCTACTGAAGACCCTGGATGACAAAACGCTCAACTCCGGTTCTTCACTGACCCCGCCCTTCCTCTTTTTTCTTTAAAATCAGTTTTAACCGTACAAAATCACGCTTTTGGATCGTTAAAAGCAGCTAAGCTGAGAAGCTACGAGCTAAGCTAACAGTCCGACCTCAGATAAAAACCTCCGTCTTGTCGAAGCTCCAAAATTCACGGTTGAAACTCGTTCCTTCGTCTAAAAAGTTGTTTTTCTCTGCAAAAAGAACCTGAGAACTTGTTTACTGATTTTTTTTTATTAAAAGCTTTGTGTGACAAACGCTGAAGAGTTCAAACCACACCGAGCATCCGCCACTTTGAGAACCGAAAAAAGGAAAGAGAGACAGCCCATGTCACGTCAAGGGGCATCCCTCCCATTTTCTTACAGAGACACGCTGCTCGCTCCCTCACTATCCATCCTTCGGTTCAAACGGTCTTATACTGCCATCCGGTGATCAAAGAAAGTACTACACACAAAAATTAATCAACATTTCTAATTAAATTTGACAATTACTAATTATTGTCAAATTTCAAACAATATTATCGTTTATCGCAATAATTCCTGAAAACAAAATTTGTTATTGTGACAGGCCTACTTGTAGCTAGCCTTTTTAGGTAGGCTTTTGTTATTTTTAGTTTTTAACTAACATTTTGCTACATTTACTAAATGTTCCCTAGATTTGGCTTTTAGCGTTTTGCTTTTATTAGCTTAAACTTAGCTTCAGCTTGTTCATCACACTTCGCAGGTGTTCAGCTCCTCACGCTGTATTTTTGCAGAAAATGTAATTCCTTCAGTTTTTCTGCCGACAGATTGATCTTCGGTTGCCCCGAGTTTAAAATCACATGTACGCAAACATTTCCCCTCCAACCACATAATAATAAACTATAAATAAACGATAATATTCACCGTCCACAACAAACAAACTGCAGCTCACCGTTCCTGATTTGTTGTCCGAAGCTGCAGGTAACGGAAACCAACAAAATCAGACTCGCCTGAAGCCGTGTGCTGGACTCCATGTTGCTTCGTCAGAGGCAGCCTCTCCTTCTGCTCATCTTTACAACACCGACATAAAAGCAGCCAAAGGTCACTGCTGGTTCCCTTTACCTGCTCTCACGTTGGAGGCAGGTGCGATCATCAGGAGCTACGATGATTTGTTGATGAGCGGCGGCCGACATCCGTCGGCTGTCCTCTTCGAAACCAAATCCTGAGTCGGGGCTTCCTTTCGTGATGATCTGAGCGGACTGGCCGATGTTTTGATGCATCAGCTGTAGAAGAAGAGTAAACAGAACGGCTAAAGCTGCTGCAAGTGGCTCAATAAGGTTACCATGGTAACCACACGCCTCCATTTTCAGACAGGCAGAAATGCAGAGTAGAAAGTAAGCCTCACAAAAATATCACTGAGAAACTTACACGACTTTTTTATGAAACTGCTGTTTTATTTTGTAAATACGGTAAGAGAGATTTTGGGTGTGGGCACGCTCTGTGGGGATTTGAGAGAAAACCATTAGAGCTAAACTGGGGGAAAGACAAAATAACCTACGTTTTCATGGAACTGTCAGGTTCGGTGTGAAACAATACCTAAACGCAGACACGCCAGCAGAAACGACAAGAAAAACAATAAAACACACAAAATTAAAAAATGAAACAGATTCATGTTTGTCTGCAAAGATTAGAAAGCTCTAAAGTTAGCGTGACGTCACACTACATGTAAAAATCTTCAACTTGAACTGTGACTGTAGAAACCGTTAACGACCTCGAACACTGCAGTTCAGTTCTGTAAAGTCCAAATTTCTGTGACCCGTTTAAAACTCTGAATGATGGTTCTGCTGAGAAGTCCGAGCTGCGGATCCAAACGGGACTGGGCTCGTTTCACCAAAGTCCCATAGATGTCCATGGCAACAGTTTTTCACAGTTTGGCTAATTTTGTTGATTTTTTAATGTTGTTTAGATGTTGTTCTCCTAAACTCTGGAACCAACTGAGACGTACACAAACTGTTGGTTCCTTAACCCCCCCCCCTGCTGCCCTAGGGTCAAAAAGCCCCAGGAGGCCTAAGCTCTGAGGCACTGTGGGTCTTTTTGACCCTAGGGCAGCAGAAGGGTTGAATCCAGTTGCCTATAAAATAAAAACTGTATTTGTATTAGTTTTTCAGTTTCATTTATTGGTTTTTGTTTAAAGTCTTATTTTGTTTTATTTTTTATGTTAAAATATAATGAAATCTCTTCTTTTAATGTATTTCCTGGATCTGTAGAGCTCTTTGAATTGTGCAAACGGTGATAAACTTGTTTTTTGTAAATCACAAATCTTAACGTGAATAAAAGAAAATCATCTGAAAAGTGAAACGGACAAGTCTCAAGTTAAATCTGGTTAAAAGTGTCAGGGGTGGGTAAGTTAACCCATCCAGTCTGCTTCTCTTTCGGTGGGAAGCACCAGGATCTCATTTCCACGTCCATTCAGCTGTAAAAACCTGATTACTCCAAACGTCCTCTCACTCTGTTAATTACCCTCACAGGTTCATTTCCCTGATGTTACGGACGAGTTCACTGGAGGAGCTCATTAACCTTTGACCTCGCTCTTTAAATCTGCTGACCTGTCCAGCAGTGGGGGGGGGGGGGGGGGTCCATACTCCGTTAGTGGGATTCAAGCTTGTGTTTGATAAAAATGAAACAAAGACTGTGTGCATCTCCCTCCCATCATCGTTGAACAAACACTCTTATCATGCAGCTGTCCTCACGCTGCCTCCTGCAGCAGACCACTGTTTAACCGAATGGCCTTTTCAGCTGCTGGGAATTCCACTCAGGCATCTGCAGGGGCAGCTAAACGGGACCTAGAGCTTCAGTTGTGGATGGATTAATTCCAGCTGCATTCACTGAGGGCTGACAGTGCAACAGGCAGCTGGAGCTGAACCCCCACACCCACTTACCTCCTGTGTACAAATTCACTTCATCCATGGTGAGTACAACCTGGATACAAAATTTACTGCCTCACACTCTATATTTACTCACTTTTAAGTTAAAAAAAATGTTGTTTACAGCAGATTAACTGTGTTCAGATGTGTACATATGTTATTTTTGTTTGACAGAAGTAATGTCAGCATTTCTTCCCCCTGTGATCATGTTGCTGTGTGCATACAGAAGGTTTAATCCAGTGTTTGTGTGCCGTCCATTCCAGATAAACCAGATTACAGCGTTGCTATGACACCTAATGATGTCACTGCTCTTGTTCAGGCTGTGATGGGGACATCTGTTTGTCCCCTCCGTTCAGCTGAGGGACAAAAGTCCTTCAAAATGCAGTCCCATAAGTTTGTTGTGAAACTCTGGTTGATTTAAACACGGAGTCCAGGTTTGGAGGAGCTTTGAGTCCGCATGCTTCCAGAACCAGGCATGCAGCCGCTCATTGTTTCCAGATGGGGGGCGTGCAACCAATCAGAGCTTGTGTTTGTCAACCTGCCCCCTCTGAGTCCTGCTGTACTCTGTCCCCTCCAGGCGGGTAAGATCCAGAGTCTGAGCGAGGAGGAGAGGGCTCACCTGCTCCCCCTGCTGCGCAACGCCCAGTGGGTGGAGGTGGGGGGGCGGGATGCCATTTATAAAGAGTTCATCTTCAAAGACTTCAACCAGGTTTATACACTTCAGTTCAGGCGCATTGTCTGTTTGATCGCACATTTCTTAACCTTTGTTTACGTGTTTGTTTACACGTTTGTTTACGTGTTTGTAGGCGTTTGGTTTCATGTCCAGAGTGGCTTTACAGGCAGAGAAGATGGATCATCATCCTGAGTGGTTCAACGTCTACAACAAGGTATAAATAAGCTGAACAACAGCCGAAACTAACTGAAGGAGAGCAACCTGAGTCGTTAAGGCTAAAACAAGCCGAACACAAGCTAAACTATAAAAAGGAGCGAAATGTTCACTATAAGTCAACAGAAGCTAAACACTACCTAAAAGAGAAAGAAGCAAAAGGCTAGAGTAAAATTTTAGCTAAAAGCAAAGCTATTAGCTAACAATCACTATTAGTAAAGAGCTAAAAATATCAAAAGCCTAGCTAGAAGATGAATGTAACCGGCTAGCAAAAAGCTAAGATCAAAGTAGTGAAAGGCTAGCTAAAAGAGCTAAATGCTAAAGATAAGTGTAAAACAGCTAAATGGTTGCTAACTGTAGCAAAAGGAGCATTTAGCAACCATTTGGCTGTTTGTAAACTTTTAAAACTGCTCCATTCAGATGATTAAAAAGAAGTAGCCAATTTGAAAACAGGCGGGAACCAGAACTGGACCCACGACACTTCGTGACATCTTGTTACCGAGTCCCAGTAACTTTTGTTAAAATAATTATCACTGAAACTAAACATTCTGTGACATTTAGTCTAACGAATGAATTAGATTGAATTCCATAATGAACTGCTACGTTTCTAACTTCCGGTGGTTGCTAGCAGTGCTACAATGCTAATGCTAGCTCCCAGCAACAGTTGTTTTCCTAATTTATTTTAACTGTGCACCTCCAAAAGGTGGACAATGATGTTTTTACCTGCGTCAACTTTATTCAGTAATCACATAGCTTGTTTTACCTTGTTGACTTTTAAAATATTACTTTTCATTACCTTTAGCTGTAATTAGTTGATTCATGCTCAGAAAGCGCTGTCTCAGTGTGCCGGGGGGCGGGGGGAGGGGCGGGGCTTATAGCCTCACAGCCGGAGTGCGCAGACTCGGGTTTCAAAAATACAAGTTCTTAAATCAGGTCCTGCTCCTTCATTTTATAACTGGAAGAGGTGGAAAAGAACATTTTAGAAATATCAAATTGACTCATTCTCATGTACAAATAAATGCTATCAGTATACCAAATGTGTCCTCTTGATGCATGCTCAATAATCCAGGTAACAAGTCTGAGTACAGATTAGCCTCACTGAACCTTGAGGACTCATTTACAAGAGAGACTGTTTATTTCCAGAAATGCTTAAATGTGCAAAAAATAAACGGCATAATTGTAACTGGTCCATACTTTAAATAAAATCAACTCTTAGGAATATAGATTGTATGATTAAACTGTAACACATCCCTTTAATAATCTTTGTTCCTTTTTCAGATTAAATGTATAAAAATTGAATTTCAAGTTTGTGGGGTTTTGGTCATGGAACTTTCTGGTTAAAGCAGAGACACTCAAACTGAGCTCGTCATGTGACAAACTATTTTTTTCTTTCAGGTCCAGATTACGCTCAGCACACATGAATGTGGGGGATTATCTCAGCGTGACATCCAAATGGCCACCTTCATAGACCAGGCGTCTCTGATGTGAACAAACCCCCCCATCAGATAACTCAACACAAAAAATGTGACTCGTCTTAAAAAGACATGACTGGATGACTTTGAATTCCTTGTGATAATTGTAACTGGTGTGTAGTTGGTTTTCTCTTTGACAGAAAAACAAATTAACTGAAGGAAATTATTAAATCCTGTTTACAAAAATTCTAAGAACAGAAGCAGCAACCATTCCAGAGAACGTTACAGAAAGCATTCAGTCATTTATCGTTTAGTCCCAACAAGTGTCTTATTGTGCCAACTGTTTTTCTATGATGTAAAAATAAATGTTACTTTTACTGCTTGCCACAAAAAGGCAAACGCAGAAAATGTTTTTATCCGTGTCTTCTTAAAATGTCTAATGAACCACTGGACAAACTAAATTTACTGAAAATATTCAACCACAGCCGAGTCAGCAGATGGGTGCCACCACAAAACTTAGAGAACACAAATGGTTATAGGTCAGTCCGTTTTCCAGATGTTGATCTTAAATTTGGTGCGGCAGTAGCTGAAAGTCATTCCCAGCACTTTGAGCACATCTGGTGACATCACATGATGCCACAATAATCTCAGGGTTTCAACAAAACAGCTACTTCTATTTCTCTACATTATTATAGTCTGTTTGCTTTTATGTTGTCTGATTCCTAAATCTTTTTTAGGCACTTACCTAAACCTCCGCTCACAGGTGTGCACGACTTCTAACCTAAAATGATCAGTTTGGATTCTCGCAGCTTGTTGGGAGACTAATCTTTTCGAATGGTCGTATCTGGCCTGGGGGCCACTTGTTGAGCTTGCAGGCCAGATGTGATGATGAAGATAAAAATAAACTTGCATTAAAAGGTTTTTATTTAAAAGAACATCCATAATCAGTTTTCCATCACCAGCTTTTAAGTCATTTCTCCAAAGCAGAACACGAGCTGCTGTCGTCGTCGCACAGTATCTCAGGTTGGATGGATGGAACCAAGAGACGGAAAAAATTACCTACATGCAAGAAAATACATTCACGTCTAATCTCTCAAAACATCTCAGAAGAAAAAGTGATTAGCAGTGGTTAGATTCCACGTTCAAGGCCGACAGTAGCAGCCGCTACAGCGCTTCCGATTCCCCTTTTTGTTTCGCGTCATTAAAGAAACAAAAACATATTGCACACACACAAAACAAAAATAACAGTCTTGGAAGAGAACAAGATCCGTTCTGGCCTTAAACATCCCGCTGATTAGATTAACCGTTTGCAAAAAGAAAATTCTCCCGTAATGAAACTAATCTGTGGATTTCAAACCTTGGTCACAGTGGACAGGATCCCTTATTATTAGTTTACTAACCATCGCCATGGCGACGGTTTATGTGTCTGTAGGACCGTTTCAGTGGATCGTGAACAGCATGGCTTTGCATTGAGTAGAAACTGAGGTAGATTAAATCAGGAGGCAACTACAGAAAACACACGAGCTGAACTACTGGTTTCTGCTCCTTGGAAATATTAGTTGACCAGAAGAGGAAAAGAGCCGAGGGTTCAGTCTGTCAATAAAGCACCTCTTCACACAGCTTCTGTGAAATCTTATGAAAACAACAAGCTTTGGATTCCTCTAGCTGCTTTCTCAACTTTAACGCCCTCCTCCTCTCTTATTTAAACCTGATGACGTTAAAAGATCCCGACTCGTTTCTCACGACTCAAAGCTTCACGCTCGCAGCTGAGAAACGTCCCATAAAGTCACAAGTCAAGTGGTTTAGTGGGGCTTGAAGCCGACGTGTTCTCGTCGGGGCGTTGCAGTGCGTGGACATCGTTAGAGATTTAAATAAAGATGCTGTTTTTGCAGAAAAGTGCTGCAGGATAACACTGAGCTGCTGCAGTACAGCAGCGTTCCTGCTAGAGGGCAGCGCAGCCCCTTCTACTCATGGAGCTACACAAAACATGAAACAACTTTTTCTACAAGTCCAAGGTTCATGATGGACCCGGGTCTCAGTGGTTTCTGTGGGGAGGGGTGCGGAGTCACAAACAACAAGCTGAAATGTTCTGACGGTAAAATAAAACTGCACGGTTTTGATATGAGGTGAGCAGACAAGCATTAACTGTTAAAAATCACCGTTAAAATCAACTTCTAACATAAAACAGCACAAACAGACAACTGTTCCCATGGGACCATTCAAATGAAGTTAGAAAGGAAAGCGTAAATCGTTTGGACCCAGTGGTTTCCTCTCTGTGCCTCGTAGAAACGAAGCAGTTTCCCTCTGGGATGATTAAACCCGTGATGGCTTGTGCTTCGAACAGCTTTGCAGACATAAATGTTGTTTTTTTTTGTGCACAGAGTTTTGCAGGATAAGGCAACCGTTAGGAGTTCAGGGAAGAGGCGAGCGCGTTTCCCCTGCAGGGTTCAAGCCCGAGAAGGTCCGGTCTCGTTTCAGTGGGCTTTGCCGTTGCCGTTCATGTGGCTGGCGTGTGACTTCGGCACCTCGGTGCTGTAGAGGCAGTCCAGGAAAGCGCGGGAGATCTCAGTCACCAGGGATCGGTCTGGGATGGACTGAGCCATGCCGTAGATCGCTCCCTGAAACAACAGGAGGTCAAAGTTCAAACTCGTTCTCTTCAACGCTCCGAGGAAGCAGCCGAAATAGAGCTTAGCTAACAGCTTGTCTTAACACAGTTGAGACAAACTACCAAAACAGCGTGTTGGACCACCGTTAAGGGCCTGGATTTAGTGAGAACAAATATTAGTGACAGGTCTGAACAGGTCTCTAAGCTGAAGGTGTACAAAGAGCCGCCCTCAACAGAAAGGTAAACAAACCCTCACTTAAAAACGGACAAACTCCTTTTATTCTGCTCCATGCACCGGGAGGTGGAGCTCACAATTAAAACCAATCAAAAACTATTACTTTAGTTCAGAGGTGCCCAGATGTTTTCATCACGGAGCTCCTTTTAAAGTGACCAAGTCAAAGCGATCCACCTGCTGTAGGGCCCCGTTTACACAGAACAGCCTCTGGAAACTTTAGTGTTTTTAAATGTTTATTAGGGGTAGTAAACAAAAAACGAGTGGGTTTACATGACAACGCTGTCAGTTGGGTTGCCAGATAAGAAATGATGAACTATAGCACTGTGGCTTTAAAATGACAGTTTTTTTTTTACCTAAACTGTCACATGTGCTGAGTAAAGATATTCTAAGATGAGGTGTGGGCTGTGTTTGTTGAACATATTCACAGAAAAGGAGGAGGTAAATAAGACATTTTAAATTTATCTGGCAACCCTGATGCAGGCTCAGCTGCATCCATTGCAGCGTCTGCATGACAGTTAGTCCAAACTGGTGAAGACACCAACGTCTCTTTGGAACCTGGATTTTTATTAGTTTTGCTCCTACAAGCTGAAAAAGGGTGAGCAGCACAAAAACACTCTGCTCTCTGACATTTATTATAACTGTTGTTACATTTATTATAACTGTTGTTATATTTATTATAACTGTCGTTATATTTATTATAACTGTTGTTATATTTATTATAACTGTCGTTATATTTATTATAACTGTCGTTACATTTATTATAACTGTTGTTATATTTATTATAACTGTCGTTACATTTATTATAACTGTTGTTATACAAACCGGATTCCAAAAAAGTTGGGACACTAAACAAATTGTGAATAAAAACTGAATGCAATGATGTGGAGGTGCCAACATCTAATATTTTATTCAGAATGGAACACAAATCACAGATCAAAAGTTTAAACTGAGAGAATGTATAATTTTAAGGGAAAAATCTGTTGTTTCCAAATTTCATGGCGTCAACAGATCCCAAAAAAGTTGGGACAAGTCCATTTTTACACTGTGTAGCATCCCCCCTTCTTCTTACAACACTCAACAGACGTCTGGGGACAGAGGAGACCAGTTTCTCCAGTTTAGAAATAGGAATGCTCTCCCATTCATGTCTAATACAGGCCTCTAACTGTTCAATCGTCTTGGGCCTTCTTTGTCGCACCTTCCTCTTTATGATGCACCAAATGTTCTCTATAGGTGAAAGATCTGGACTGCAGGCTGGCCATTTCAGTACCCGGATCCTTCTCCTACGTAGCCATGATGTTGTGATTGCTGCAGAATGTGGTCTGGCATTATCGTGTTGAAAAATGCAGGGTCTTCCCTGAAAGAAATGACGTCTAGATGGGAGCATATGTTGTTCTAGAACCTGAACATAGTTCTCTGCATTAATGGTGCCTTTCCAGACATGCAAGCTGCCCATGCCACAAGCGCTCATGCAACCCCATACCATCAGTGATGCAGGCTTCTGAACGGAGCGCTGATAACAACTTGGGCTGTCCTTGTCCTCTCTGGTCCGGATGACATGGCGTCCCAGTGTTCCATAAAGAACTTCAAATCGTGACTCATCTGACCACAGAACAGTCTTCCATTTTGCCACACTCCATTTTAAATGACCCCTGGCCCAGTGCAAACGTCTGAGCTTGTGGAGCTTGCTTAGAAATGGCTTCCTCTTTGCACTGTAGAGTTTCAGCTGGCAACGGCGGATGGCACGGTGGATTGTGTTCACTGACAATGCTTTCTGGAAGTATTCCTGAGCCCATTCTGTTATTTCCTTGACAGTGGCATTCCTGTTTGAGGTGCAGTGACGTTTAAGGGCCCGGAGATCACGAGCATCCAGTAGAGTTTTACGGCCTTGACCCTTACGCACAGCGATTGTTCCAGATTCTCTAAATCTTTTGATGATGTTATGCACGGTTGATGATGATAACTTAAAAGTCTTTGCTATTTTACGCTGGGTAACACCATTCTGGTATTGCTGCACTATCTTTCTGTGCAACAATGGTGGAATTGGTGATCCTCTTACCATCTTGGCTTCTGAGAGACACTGACACTCTGAGAAGATCTTTTTATACCAATCATGTTGTCAATTGACCTAATTAGTGTTAATTGGTCTTCCAGCTGTTTGTTATATGCTCAATTTCCTTTTTCCAGCCACTTATTGCTACTTGTCCCAACTTTTTTGGGATTTGTTGACACTGTGAAATTTTGAATCAACATATTTTTCCTTTAAAATGTTACATTTACTCAGATTAAACTTTTGATCTGTCATCTATGTTATATTACGAATAAAATATTGACATTTGCCATCTCCACATCATTGCATTCAGTTTTTATTCACAGTTTGTTTAGTGTCCCAACTTTTTTGGAATCCAGTTTGTATTTATTATAACTGTTGTTATATTTATTATAAATGTTGTTAGAGCAGAAAAACTTTGGACTGCAGTCGCCTGTTTCACTCCTCCATGGGGGGTTCCTCTGAAAACCTCCGCTCTGAGACCTGGACTCAGAACCTTGAGTCTCAGAGAGGATGAGGATGTTGTCTGTAAATGAACGTCTCACGTCGTGTAAACGTGGCCTCAGACTGGCTGCCCTGTCTGTCAATCAAGAGACAAAGTTCATAGATGATCGGCTGACATCTAGTTTTTATTCCAGAATCCCTCTGCGATCGACCGGTAGATTGCGATTGACGTACTGGGCACCCCTGCACTAGTTAAATACGGAGGTGCTCCATCAGTAACTCACCTTTCCAGTGGTTTTCTCTTTGGGGTTTTTCATGATGATGCCGACCTGCTCTCTGACATCATGAACAAATCGATCGGCGACCCCCGGCTGGGTGTGCAAAACTGTGCAACAAAGATGGATGCTGGGAAAAACAAAAAAATATCAAGCATCTGTGAGAACGCCCCATTAAATTAATGAAACACTGAGCACCCCCACCCACCGCCCCCACCCACCTGGATGGGAACTGCAGCGTGTTCAGATTCCAGCCCTTCGACGTCAGCGCATTCGAGAGGCGGAAAACGTCAAAATGATCCGAGCCGATGGCCACCACCGACACCTCCGGGTCCCCGAACACAAACACCCCTTTAATCTTCTGGATTCTGTAGGAAAGAATAAAAGGGTGCACGTTAGCGTGGGCTCACGTGGACGTCAGCTCTGACCACGTGTGCGTGTCATACTCGGTCTTGATCTTGCGCGTCGTGCTGACGATCTTCCTGGTGGCGTCCACGTATCTGTTCTCTCCCATGTACATCATGGTCGCCCAGCAGGCCGCGATGATCCCACCAGGTCTGGAGCCGGCGATGGAGGGCGAGGCGTAGATCCCCCCCTGCCAGTCTGGAGCTACAAAGTACTGGTACTGACGGTACTTTGTGTCCTTGTAGAGGATCACAGACGAGCCTTTGGGGGCGTAGCCGTACTGGAGAGAGTGGCAGAAAACATTTATTGTGCTAACGCCTATGAAGCTTTCACACTGTTGTGATCCTGTTTATATTTATTATTCCACCTTCTTTAAACTACTCCGTATGTTTTTGTCATATTTTTGTTCTGCTTCAACTTCTTTCAGCTTCCTTCTGCAAATTTTAACTTTTTTCAGCTATTTTTATCTAATTTCAGCTGTTTGTTCAGCTGCTTTGTGCTCCTCAGATTCTTTCTGCAAGTTTCAGCTATTTCTACTATTTCAGCTAATATTTAGCACATATTAATAAAACACATAATAATAAAACCGTTGTTAAAACATTAAGATCAATAAAAACAGTGAAGAACAAATTCAGTCTGTGCTAAAATCCAGGAGTGTTTTTAAAAAGAGTTTTAAAAATGGACAGTGTTCTACATTTAAGCTAAGTTTTTAGCATTTTTTTAGCTAATTTCAGCTGTTTTCAGATTAATTCAAGTTTTTTTGTGGTAATTTCTGCTACTTTCTGCCTTATTAACTTCTTTTAGCCAATTTCAGCTTGTTACGCTCCTTTCAGCATATTTTTGCTAGGTTAAGCTTTTTCTGCTCTTTCAGCTACTATTTAGCTGTTTTTATACTAAATTTAGCTTTTTCAGCTAATTCCACATTTTTGGAGATATTTTCAACTCCTTCCACTTCCTTCTAGTAGTTTAAGCTTCTTTCTGACTTTTCAGCTAATTTTGACTAATTTCAACTTTTTTAGCTAATTTCCTACATAATTCAGCAAATATGTGTTTTTTCTTCTTTCTTCTGCTAAGTTAGACTTGTTCTGTTTCAGCTACATTTCAGCAAGTTTATAGCTAATTTCAGCTGTTTTTCAGCAAGCTCTTCTGCATTAAACGTTCACACTGCATTTTCACAGGAAATGCAGTTTCTCTAATTATTATTTATTGATCATCAGTGTAAACGTTAAGGGTTTCTTTAATCGTCGCTGCTCACCTTGTGGGTGTCAGCAGAGATGCTTGTGACTCCGTCCACTCTGAAGTCGAATGGAGCGAGAGGGAAACCAGCTTTGTCCATGAAGACGATGAGGAAGCCGCCCAGACAGGCGTCCACGTGCAGCGGGACGTTGTAGCGTACGGCCAGCTGCAGCAGAAAAACATCAGACTCAAAACGTTCCTGTTTTCATGAAACTACAAACCAACCTTGCTGATTGTGAACAAGAAAACTTGGCGACGTGTTTTCCACCTTCTGATGCCGATGGCAGGCCGACCTTCCACAGTTACACAAAAAGCAACAATCTGCAAGTGTTCTGGTTCAAAGTGGTCCGCTGAGGTAAAACCAGGCCTTTGTCTCCACAGCTGCTGATAAAAACTGCAGATTCACCTTCAAAGTGTTTCAGTATTACTCCGTTTTATCAGTCGCCTTCAAATGGACCCGTTGGGACGGTTTGTTTAAAATGAACTTGATTTTTTTCTTTCAGCTGCTCCTCCAGGAGTCACCACAGTGAGCGAATTCACGAACGTTTGAATAGTTTTTACGCCCGATGTCCTTCCTGACGCAACCACAGACACCGAGCTACCACGGCCTCTGTGTGGAGCAGAGATCTGACATCTAGGGCGCCTGGGGGAGCAGATGGTGGAGGTTAAGGGCCTTGCTCAAGGGCCCAGAGCGGAGCAAATGAAGGTGGAGGCAGGTGTGGGTGCTTCAGCTTTGCCATCTACATTTTGATGTAACAGTCAGGGAATTTGAACCGGCAACCTTCTGATTACAGGTTCGCCTCCTCTAACCAGTCTGCTGTCACCCCCCTCCCCCATGCCCACCCCCTGGTAAGAAGATCGTAATAAAGAGCTTTTAAAACTATTTGAAGTTCTAAAAAAATTTTTTTTTTTTTTTACTCCGCTTTTTCCACCAATTTACTGTCTGTCTGACTGACTGACTGATAAACTGTCTGACTGACTGACTGATAAACTGTCTGTCTGTCTGACTGATTAACTGTCTGACTGACTGATAAACTGATTGACTGACTGACTGACTGTCTGATTAACTGTCTGACTGACTGATTAACTGTCTGACTGACTGACTGATAAACTGTCTGTCTGTCTGACTGATTAACTGTCTGACTGACTGACTGATAAACTGTCTGTCTGTCTGACTGATTAACTGTCTGACTGACTGACTGATTAACTGTCTGACTGACTGACTGACTGATAAACTGTCTGTCTGACTGACTGATAAACTGTCTGTCTGACTGACTGATTAACTGTCTGACTGACTGACTGATTAACTGTCTGACTGACTGACTGATAAACTGTCTGTCTGACTGACTGATAAACTGTCTGTCTGACTGACTGATTAACTGTCTGACTGATAAACTGTCTGTCTGACTGACTGATTAACTGTCTGACTGACTGACTGATAAACTGTCTGTCTGTCTGACTGATTAACTGTCTGACTGACTGATTAACTGTCTGTCTGTCTGATAAACTGTCTGTCTGTCTGACTGACTAACTGTCTGACTGACTGACTGACTGATAAACTGTCTGACTGACTGACTGATAAACTGTCTGACTGACTGATTTACTGTCTGACTGACTGATTTACTGTCTGATTAACTGTCTGGCTGACTGATTTACTGTCTGACTGACTGATTTACTGTCTGATTAACTGTCTGGCTGACTGATAAACTGTCTGTCTGTCTGTCTGACTGATTAACTGTCTGTCTGTCTGACTGATAAACTGTCTGTCTGACTGATTAACTGTCTGACTGACTGATTAACTGTCTGACTGACTGACTGATAAACTGTCTGACTGACTGATTTACTGTCTGACTGACTGATTTACTGTCTGACTGATAAACTGTCTGTCTGTCTGACTGATTAACTGTCTGTCTGTCTGACTGATTAACTGTCTGACTGACTGACTGATAAACTGGCTGACTGACTGATTGACTGTCTGACTGACTGATTTACTGTCCGACTGACTGATTAACTGTCTGGCTGACTGACTGACGTTTAGTGCTGTGCTGCAGGCTCCGCCCCTCTCACACACTTGGTGACTCAGCCCTGTGACTACCTCTCCTGCTGGTTCAGGATCAGCTCCGTTCCGGTCGGTAACTCTGACCCGGCTCTAAATTTCAGCTGATGAATGAGGAGCTAATTGTGTCTTTCTGGTTTGGTACTAAAGGCTAAACAGTCCGGTCATTCCTGAATAATTCATTAATAATTCACAATAATAATATTATTATGAATTAACTAATTAATTAATATAATAATAAATTAATTGGTCTCATTGGGGAAACACAAAACACTCTTCTAAAAATGTTCAGGTTCTGGACTGAAAATTATCAGATAAAAGCAGCCCCCCCCACCCCCACCCCCCGTATAAAAAAAAAAAAAACTTTAAACCCTTCAGGTGTGAGGAAATGTTCCTCCAGACTCAGAAGAAAATATGAATAAATCAGGTGTGGCTCAGGACTTTTGCACAGCTCTGTGTTTAGGGGGGGGGGGGGGGGGGGGGTTCTGCTGACCTTGGCCACTTCCTGAACAGGATCTATGATTCCATGAGGGAACTGAGGCGCTGAGCAGACGAGCATGGCCGTGTTCTTGCTGATGGCTCTCCTCATCGCCTGAAAACAAACGAAACAAAACGTGAAAAAGCTGCAACGAGCGACTTCGAGCGCCGTCGGGCGTGTCGCCCGCTCACCTTCACGTCTACTTTCATGGTCTTCTTGTCAAGAGGAATGTGAACGAGCTTCATCCCGAAGTAATGCGCCGCTTTGTCGAAGGCTGCGTGGACGCTCACGGGAGCGAGGCTGCAGAGGAGACCAAACGTTAAACACGGAGGCCGAGCCGAGAAGACGAGTTTATAAAAGCTCATCGTACATCTCGGGGTGCCTGACTCCTCGTTCGTACGCCATGTCCCTGTACGCCTTGCAGGCCATCAGGATGCTCTCGGTCCCTCCTGAAGTCACCTGGGGGAGAGTTGAGACGCAGCAATTAAACAACTTGTTCCACTGGTTCTGCACGGTTCTTTTTATTCTCCGGTGAGGAGGCCCACTCACGGTGCCGCATGAAGCAGGTCCCCCGTGGAAAAGCGTGCAGGACATCCGGACCACTTCAGCCTCCATCTTCCTGACACCGGGGAAGATGTCCGGGTGAAGAGGGTTGCTCCACGCAAAATCCCCGTATACCTGCAAACAAACAGGCGAGCCAGCTTTATAGATGAAAACAGCAGCTGTTACCAAAGTGCTGAACAATAAGATCAATGGCAGGAATTGAAGAAAAAAATAACTAAATTAATTAAAAGCATCAAAAGGAAAACGTAAAAATACTAAACGATAAACTAGTAAATCAGATCGCACGGTGTTAAAAATCAGAGAAAACAGGTGTGTTTATAAAAGAGGTTTAAAAACAGGAAGTGAAGAGTCCAGTCCAATGTGGGGGCAGGTTGTTCCAGAGTTTAGGACCACGACTGAAAAAGGCCGATCTCCTCTGAGCTTCAACCAGAAGCAGCTGATCAGATGATCTCATCACCCGAGAACAAACATCTGGTTGAAGGAGCTCAGACAGATACGAGGGTGTAAGGTCATTAAGGTACTTAAAGGTCAACAGGAGAATTTTAAATCAATCCTGATTTGCAGAGTGGTGAAGGCTGCACAGAAGATGTTGGAGTCAAGTCTCCCCACCATCACAGACATCTACACCTCCAGATGCAGGAAGAGGGCCACCTGCATCATGAAGGACCCCACTCACCCCTTTTTGCCCCGCTCCCCTCAGGAAGGAGGTTGAGGAGCATTAAGTGTAGAACCACTAGACTGAGGAACAGCTTCTACCCTGAGGCTGTTAGACTCATGAATCTCTAACCAGGAGAATCACTGTAATGCCACTTGGTTGTTGATATGTGCTGCTGATCTCATGCTGCTGATCTGTAGCTACTATGTTCATTCATACTCATCTGCTCACAGACTCATGTTCGTGCTGCTGTTCGACGTATTGTTTTTATGCTACTAGTGCTTACCGTATTTTTAGTTTAAGGTTTTTATTAGTTCATATCTTGGATCTTGTTACTGTTTTTATTTACATTTTTATACTTTTGTTGGATGTAACTGGGACGCTGTGTACACAATTTCGTTCCACCACATGTACCACATGTGGTGCGAATGACAATAAAGAAACTTTGACTTGGATCCGTACGGGGAGCCAGTGCAGGGAGGACAGAACTGGTGAGATGTGATCGAACCTACGAGTTCCTGTTAAGAGCCGAGCTGCAACGTTTTGGACGAGCTGGAGACGTGACTGAGCCCAACATGAAGCTCGTTACAGTCAGTCGGGTTGTAATGAGGTCAAGGACTAGTTTTTCAAGGTCAGATCTGGTCGACATGGACTTGATCTATATCTGCCTCAACTGGAAGAAGCTTTCCTGCAGAACAGATTTAATCTGTTTATTAAACTTAAAGTCAGAGTCTAAAACCATCCTGAGGTTTGTGACAGACTAAGATACGACTGAAGAGAGTCCAGGTTTACAGGATCAGACCTGAACACCATGACTTCAGTTTACTGATGATGAAACTTAAAAAGTTTGAAGCCGTCCGTGCCTTGATGTCATGAAGACATTTTAACAGAGGGTGGATGGAGCAGGAACTGTTGGGTTTTAAGAGCAGATACATCTGAATATCATCGGCAAACAATGAAACAGACCATGTTCCCTCAGGATGGACCCCAGGAGTACCATCGTTACACATTATACGCCTGTCAACAAACTTCTACAGCAATCTGAAGCAAACACCTCGTATAACCTTTGACCTTGATTTGTGACCTTGACCTTGGAGCTGGGGTGAATTTTGTTGCAAGTTTGATTAATCTCCACCGTTTCTGAACATACAAAACAAACGGGTTTTAAACTCTCCACATGAAGAATGAAACTCGGAGTCCGTCCAGTTTGGATCAGAACCTCCTCTGCAGAGGTCGGACCGGGCCGGCGGTCAACCAAACTACCGTAACGTATATAAAAAATGTTCTCAGACACAAAGATCGCTCAGAGGTAAGATAATAACCGTTCATAACTTCAAACTTCTTAAAATGACTAAAATATTGTTTTTATTTAACTTTTTTACAAACTGAACACTTGGAGTGAGCATTATGAACGACTCTCAGCTACTACCACGCCAGAGTTTTAGCTCAACATCTGTACAACCGACTGGATTAGTTTACGTTTCTTCTTTTGTCAGCTGGCTGCGGCGGCCATCTTAAATCGAGTCGGTTCCTGAGGCTCACCAGTTGTGATTATTATTCCCTGAAAGTTTCACCGAACTCCGTCCGGTAGTCCATGAGATATTTTGCTAACACGCAGATGTTTGGAGCTCGATCCGTTATCCAGAAGTCCAAAGACGGATACGAACCTTCACCAGGAGTTTGGTCAGGGATTCATCCCCCCAGTACACGGTCCCAGAAACACAGCCTCTCTCCCACGGCACCTCATCTGGAATGAAACATTTTATTCATCAAGAACGTCGTTTTTTTTTTTGTTTTTTTAAAGAAGTCAGAAACCACGACTCACTCAGGGTCTGATACTCTTTGATTTTGTCCATGACTTGGCTGTGAGAGAGGCCGCTGGAGGGCAGCTCCTTCATGTAGCTCATGCCCTCCTTCAGCGTGAACAGACTGAGGGACATGTCGTCCAACGCTTTGTTCAGCTGCCTCTGAATCTGAGGACACAAACAGCAGAGCGCCGCGGTGACGACCTCAGCTGCCATTAAAGATGGAGGCCGAGCTGAAGTGACCCCGTCATCATACGTCTGACCCCCCCGCGCCTCATCACGCTGGGTCTGCGTCATTAAAGCGTGACTCACCAGCGTCTCGGGCGGGACGTACCGTGACTCCGATGAAGGGGATTTTCCTGATGAGTCGAAAGCATCGCTTCTTGATCCGGGACGTGAGGCCTGATCAACAAAAAGAAGAAGAAGAAGACGAAGAAGAAGTTGTGGTGAAAGTCGGGATAAAGCAGCTGATTGTGACTCATCAACACGTCTGAACTGACACGGTTTCCTCCAACGTTTCGAGCTACACGGTAAACACACACTTGCCACACTTGCCCCCACCCTCATTCGCTCCACTCTGGGCCCATGAGCAAGGCCCTTAACCCCCACCATCTGCTCCCTAAACAGGTCTCTCTTGAAAATGAGTTCTCGTGGCTCAATGAGACTAACCTGGATAAATAAAGGCTAAAAAAAAAAAAAAAAAAAAAACAGAAGTCGCAACAGTTTGAGCTTTAAAAGATTTCTCTGATCCGTCTCAACAACTTTTTATTTTCAGAGCGACAACAAGACAAAACTTCAAAAACACAAACCAAACACGAACGCTCAGCTCTCATCTCGTTCACTCAATCTGCAAAAACCAAAGCTGCAATCACAACAATCACAACAATCAACAATCATAACAATCAACAATCACAACATTCACAATAATCACAACAATCACAACAATCAACAATCACAACATTCACAATAATCACAACAATCACAACAATCAACATTCACAACAATCACAACATTCACAACAATCACAACAATCAACATTCACAACATTCACAACAATCACAACAATCACAACAATCAACATTCACAACAATCACAACAATCACAACAATCATAACATTCACAACAATCACAACAATCATAACATTCACAACAATCACAACAATCACAACAATCACAACAATCACAACAATCACAACATTCACAACAATCACAACAATCACAACATTCACAACAATCATAACATTCACAACAATCACAACAATCAACATTCACAACAATCACAACAATCACAACAATCAACATTCACAACAATCACAACAATCAACATTCACAACAATCACAACAATCACAACATTCACAACAATCACAACAATCAACATTCACAACAATCAACATTCACAACAATCAACATTCACAACAATCACAACAATCACAACAATCACAACAATCAACATTCACAACAATCACAACAATCACAACAATCAACATTCACAACAATCACAACAATCAACATTCACAACAATCACAACAATCAACATTCACAACAATCA